GCTATGCTGCCTTCAATTCGGCGCCGCAGCCCACCTGGAGCTGCCGGACAGGAGGACAGCTCAGAACGTGGCTCGACGCCGTCCATCAAGACATGGAAACAGTTCTTGGACCATCTCTATTCGGTCTCCGTCGCTGGAGAAGAGACTGGGTTGCGCTTTCCCCATCCGCTGCCGCCAATCGTCACGCGTGGAGGGGTACCGTCCGTGACATTATTGAGGCCGGCTACGTTAGACATGATCACAGCCGTAATAAGTACAAACAATTAAGTGGCAAGGATGGAGAAGGAAAGAAGTCCATAGAAAAGAAACGGCAACACACCTCTTTCTCGAGCATTGGACATCTTTCGTCAAAGTGTCTTATGCGCTCTTCCAGCACCTTGCGTTCGGACTACAAGAATTGGCAAGCTTTTTGGAATTTCCTGTGAGACCTTGACCGACTCCAGGTTGGTGGATTCCAACTTCTCCATTTTAACAACAACGGCATCGGACAGCTCCCCCTCTAGAGCCAAAGTTGCAGCTTTGTGCTGACGATGAGTTCGCGCTTTACTGTACGGTGCATTAGTTCGCCCTAACGTAAAAGGCATGTTGTAAGTTACAATCACCGAAGACCCAAACTCCGGAAAGGCTATGTAGCTGGTGGAAATATGTTAGATATTAACGGAAATCTATGAAGCATTATGAATGGTTACCAACCAGGAGCAATAGAGTAAGCCGACCACGCAAAAAAATACTTAAATAAAAAACGATACCTTAAATCGATACGTACCCTTTACTGTTGTTGAAGTTGGAATATTTTCAAGCTGGCTTCCAGGTCGAAACTCTCTTAAGCATCTCCTGTAGCTCATTCTTGGCCTTCCTCTCTGCATCCAGATCAGCTTTCAGTTGGTTAATCATTTCCTGCAGTCTCTCTGATTTCTTTGTGCATTTCCTTAACTCCTCTAGTTCGCGCGCATTCTTCGCACTTGTTTGTTGGCTCAATTGCAATTCAATTTCTAAATTTTTGTTCCGACTTTTTAGTTCTCGATTCTCTGCAAATAATCGGGCGATTTCTTCTGCTCGTAACGAGGACCCTGTCGAAAGGGGGCTAGCCTTCGTAATTTCGGGCCGGCGATTTTCCTCGATGATTGATTCGGTGCGAGTAAAGACTTGATCAACCTTGAGATAAAAAAAATATAATGATGGATCAAAATCCCAAATCAATGCGCAGAACGGAGATGCGACACCAAAACAAATTAACAAAGACGCTAAACTGCGCAGACTTCAAACTGTGTACTTTGGTGCAATCATCATCTAATTTTAAAGGGGAATAATTAAGCTTCAGCGGCCGTCGAGTTATCTGTCTTGTCGCGTTACAAATGCAAAACGACGAACCTGACTGAGCACTTCTGTCTGAACTTGTTTGTCTCGATTCCTCACAAACAAGTTACCGCATGTTGGTTGTATCCTCTCCAAGAGCGGAATTATCTCTGGTTGCTGGCTTATTGTCGACTCATGAAGAGAAGCCTGTTCCTTTCGCCAGGCTTTTTCTTGGTGTGAATTCTGCCTGGACAGTAGATCCTTCCCTGATGGTAGTGGCTGCACATTACGTCGCTGCAACAATTCCTGTTCATTTTGCCGTGCGTTGGGTTGGCCCCGTTTGCTAAAAGAAAATAGCAGCATTAAGAACAACTTGTATCTCTTCTGACGTAATTCGCGGAACTCTCAACATTTTATCCTCGGGTAATATTAACAGAAAAGTTGGTCGGGTGAAACTAAGATTATGTAGTAAATAACCAAGGGGATGCAACTTCTCCGAAAACAATCAAAACTGCTCAACAAGCTCCATCAGCCGAAAATCTGACGACGTAGCATATAGCAGCGTCTATTGACCTCTATTTAAAAAAAAACCCTCCCCCAACAGACGAACCATCTAAGAAGTGAACAAAAGCAAGAACAATATCGAACGTTTACGACCCACCTCACTTTCCTTTATGACGACATAGAAGTTCGGATAGATAATTGTTTATTGTAATAAACTTACCTCTTCTCCGCCACATCTTTGTAATGGCTTTGTGGAGAATGAGGTGGGCTTTCAGAAGGTCGATCATCGGAGAACATAATAGCATCGCCAGTGTTTCCGCACTCTAAGAAAACGTCCGCAAGTTGTGGTGGAGGAGTGACGGTCTGGCCTCCGGATGTATCCAAAGACCACCCATTGCTTGATGTATCCTGAGAAGAAATTGCGTTTTTAAAGACAGGTGCGTGCTAGAAATATCAATACATCTAACTGCGGATTTAAGACGGAGAAAATATCACCACGGCAGATAATCTAACACTGTCTCCTATTCTGCTGCTTGGCATGAACTGCTGACGATCGCGTCACCGTAAGTAAACGTGAACATGGCTGACCGTCGTGCGAGCA